TGTGTGTGTGTGTCTGTGTGTGTGTGTTTGTTTGTGTATATGTGTCTGTTTGTGTGTGTTTGTGTGATGTGTGTGTGTTTGTGGCTAGGAGTATGACTATGTTCGTTGGGCAGATGCTCCAATCCAATGTCTCTACTCAGACAGCCCTGTCTAATGGGATCGGTGAAATTGGTTATTCATAATTAGCATCGCAGACATTACTGCGAACACACACAGACACACACAGACACACAGACACACAGACACAGACACACACTAACACACACACACACACACACTCCAAGTTTTGTGGAGCAACGGTGACCTTTTCTCCACCTCATCAGAATTCCAGCCGGTATCTGAGGTACAAGTGTGTGTCTGTGTGTGTGTGTATGCTGGGTGTGAACATTTGCATCTAGTGTGTGTTTGTGAGCACAGAACCACAATAATTTGGCGCCTGTCTGCCTTGTGTAAGCGTGAGGACGATGGTGCGTATGGGTTGTGTAAATGCCCGCTGGTTGTCTGACAGGAAAGCTGCCGGGGAGCCGATATGTAGAAGGATCCGTCCTCCACTTTGTTGTAATCCAGCTCACATGAGAGGCTGCCAGCCCGCAGAATGCACAGTCTTGGAAAGGCACTTGACATTTCTCTGGCATTTCACAGAGAGGACCCCAGAGGCTCCAACCAGGCTCCTAATAAATTCCCCCACTCTCTCTCCTTCCTCAAACACACATTAGCTGTGGCCTGGGGAGGCTTTGTTGAAACTTTGTCAGCGCTGGGACCCAGCTGAGACAGTCAGTCAGGTAAAGTACGAGCGCAGAGCTAATGAAAACAGATTGTCATACTAGTCATGGAGGGACTGGAGAGACACCGGCCCCCTGCTGGGTTTGGCACCCTCAGTTGTAGATGGTGGAACATTTCTGAGCTGGTATGTTAGATCAATGCAATTACACACTTTACAGCTATTTGTCAGAATGATTGCTGCTGATTTAAATACACAGCCAAGCTTGTTTTATTGAGACTGACTTACCCACTTTAACTTCAGTCCCCACCTGTGTTCCTAAAGCTGTAGCCGCATAAGAAGTACAAAGAAAATGCGTGCACTCGGCTTTGCCATTTCCTCTTTTCCATACACTTTGTTCTTTGAGGTAAAACAGAAGAGGCACAATCGTCTGTTCCTCCTGCACTGACCATGTTTTCAGATGATGCAGGTTTTTTCTGCTTCAGTACACAGCTGCCATCCCATGGAAAACACAGAGCACTGCATGTCATTTGACCTCATGTCCAATGCCATCGAAACTCCGGACATGCAATATATTCATTCACATATTGAACAATTGATTTGATATAATATGATTGATATGTCTTTAACTAATGGCTGTTAATGGAGTTTTATCAGAATATGAAGATTGTTGGACTTTTAGCTTTTGTGTTGTTTTGTGCATTTTAGTCAGATTTTTTTTCAGTTGATCATGAAGCACATGCATCAGAAATGAATGTAGCTTATATATCTCATTTAATTCAAATCACATACGATAGAAATGATAGATCAGGAAGATGTAACTCTTTCAGGTTAATGTTTGACTAAGAGGCTGCTGATTCAAATCTCTTGATCTTCCACGCACGCTCTGAGTACAACACCATCATAGACAAATGTTATGGTTGCACTGCAGTGACCTGGTAGTGAGAACTGTGAAACAGAGGAAATTATCTTGTTAAAGAATAATGTAATTTGTGATCAATTCTGACTTAGGTAGGTGGTGGCTGATGCAGTACAAGGAACCCTTATTCAGTTATAACTACTTTCACCTAGTCTACTGATGCTGCTGCTGCAATGGTAACATTGTATTTGAACAATGTTCTATAATACACGTGTTTACTGTACAACACATGCATAATATTTGTATTAAATGTTTTTTCTCAGAATCAGATAGTTGATTTTCTGTCATTACAAACCTACAGTTTGTCTCTAACTGAATTAATTGTAGTTTTATCATGCACTGTTGATCCTCAGATGAATTTCCTAAATCCATGAGAATCAATTATACCAACTGCTAATCACAGCTAATAAGACACACATATTCAGCAAAACCTTTCCCTGATCAATACATACAGACATTCTCTGATTCCCTGCACCAACAATGCAGTAGAATCATCGTGAGGTGAAAACATAATTAATGTATATTCTGTGTCTGCTTTAGGTTATCACGGTTTGTACTGTGAGGAGGAGTACAATGAGTGTCTGTCGGCCCCCTGCCAGAACTACGCCACCTGCAGGGACCTGATCAATGCCTACGAGTGTGTCTGCACACAACAGTTTGAAGGTATGTGGGTGTGTGAATTTTAGAAATGTTATCCTTTACCTGACAAACTAAATTGTTTTATATATAACTGTATAACCTTTTATTTTAAATATTTGGGCCAGATTATTTTAACTGTAACTGTATTGACATTGTACTGTACTGACATTTTATGATTGCAAATTCTTGGGTATGTACTTGATTCCTGTTTTTGTTCTAATCAAAGGGTTTTTAAAAATGTTTTTAAAAGGCTTTTATTTAGGTAAATTATGAGATTGTTTATTAGTCTGCCCCTATGTTGTTCTTTGTAATTTAACTCTGTGTCATTGTAAATGATATAATTCATTGTTTTGTTGCAAAATATATGTGTACAGGTAGACACTGTGAAATCTTCAAGGATCCATGTCTGAAGGTGCGTTGCCAGAACGGAGGCCGATGTGAGAGCACAGGACTCAATGCCTCCTGTGCCTGCCCTCCTGGATACCTGGGTGAGCACAGCCACGTAATCAGCCTGACAACCAATAGATTAGCTGCCTGTTGTTGATTTTTTATAAAGGATTCAATAAATAAAAGAAATAGAAAGATCAGAGTTGTGCATCTGATTGCAAAAATATTTCTTGAGTGAAATAATAGTGACACATTACAATTCTGCAATTTGGCACAAGTTGTAACTGAATGCAACCTTTCCTGTCTCCTCAGGGGAGGAATGTGAGGTCGACATCAACGAGTGCGAGAGCAACCCTTGTCACCATGGAGGCACCTGCATTGACCAATCAAATGGCTTCACCTGTCACTGTCCACCTGGGTGGGTGGGGCCCAGCTGCGAGATCCGTAAGTCATCCTGACAGAAATGATTCGCCCTGCTATTAATCTAAACTGAGACATGTGGAAAGCTGGATGTGTGTGTGTGTGTGTGTGTGTGCGTGCGTTTCAGACCTGCAGTGGAAGCCGGCACACACTGAAGACACTCTGACCAACATGCCACGACACTCCCTCTACATCATCATTGGAGCGCTGTGCGTGGCCTTTGTCCTCATGCTCATTATCCTCATCGTGGGCATCTGCCGCATCAGCCGCATCGAGTACCAGGGCTCGTCTCGCCACGCCTACCAGGAGTTCTACAACTGCCGCAGCATCGACAGCGAGTTCAGCAATGCTATTGCCTCCATCCGCCATGCTAGGTCAGTTACAGTACTTGTATACAAACTTGTTGTTACGGAACAGGGTAGTGGAACACTTTGGATATAAACGTCTGGTGTTTGATATTATTTATGTAATCTCAGTGTGTAAAATTGTTTTTTTTAATAATATAATTTCATGATTACTTCATTTTAACTCGGTTTGTACTCTCAAAGGTCAGTTTTCTAGTTGACAGAACAGTCTGAACCACAGACTGTTTATAAAGATGATGCGTCTCCACTGCCTCCCACTATCCAGACATTAAGCCAAAATGTCCCAGATACGAACGCTGTCATCTGGCACATTTGGAGCCGGTGTCTTTTTGGAGCCCCGGTACCGAGGTCCTGGAGATACACATGCTTGACTGATTAAAACACAACTTTTCCAAAAGATTAACACTTGAACATAAATCAGTGTGATGAGAAGTACCTAAAATGATAGAAGCCACTTTGAGAAAAGTCTATTTGATGTTTACTCTCATCCACTAACATGGAGGAGGTGATATTTTTGACCAATACTGCAGCCAGCCTATAGGTGGTGATCAAGACACTTTGGCTTCATTTTTGGGAGCTGTCATGTCATCCATCTGTAGGTTAGCTTTAAGGTCTGTGTAACAAGGTGGGACGTCCAACAATAGTACGTAGAACATAGTATCCAGTAGTAATTAAGCTGAAATACAGGATATCTTGTCTTCTGCTGCATGAATTTTAACTTTATATTATAATATTCTGACTTTACCCATTCCCTAATATTGCAAAATCATATCTGATGCACAATTGGTGTTGATGCTTTCTCATTAGATTTGGCAAGAAGTCCAGGCCTGCCATGTACGATGCCACCCCCATCGCCTATGAAGACTACAGTCCTGATGACAAGCCGTTGGTTACCCTGATCAAGACCAAGGATTTGTAGAAAAAACACATATGATTGCACATGTACACATATGCACACACACACACACACGCACACACACGTAGAGAAAGTCACTATAAAGTATTTAACTATTTCTTATGGAAAAAAACAACAAAACAAAATTGAATGTAAAAAAAATCCCAAAACATACTCTGTAGTTTAAAAAAAGAAATCTGGAATTTGATACATCTATTTTCCTGTCAAAGTTCGTGATAAGGCTTTATTGTAGCATAAGAGCATTCTTTACATTAATAAGTTATTGATGACGGGCGACACGACATCTAACCCCTGTGTGTAGTTGGAGCCAGAAACACAGGTGCCCACATTTCTTAGCATAAACTGCGACAGCTCTGACAACAGTTCTTACAGGTGTTGTAGAAATAGATGCACTGCTCATGGTGCATTCACTGTATCTTTTTTCTATATCTAAAATAAACTTCTGCTGTAGGTTGCCTTACTTCGTGCATGGTTAGATTTGATGTTCTCTGCATTATTTAAAAATCTTTTGTACTTGATTGTTGGTTGTTATGGGTTCTTTTTCATTGCATTGTATTTTTCTCTGTTGAGATTGTGCCAAATATTTCATTTGTGGTCAGTAGATCAAACACATATATAAAATGCTATAGACACTGAATTTTCTTTTTAAAAAATACATACAGTATTGTCCTGTTATTTACATGCAAGTGTACGAATAGTAAAGAAAGTGGGTTTACTGGAGTACTGTGACCCTGCCAATGCCACTGTATGTATTTCAGTGATATTTAGGACAATAGGTACTGTAGGTATATTTCTCAGTGCACAGAAACATAGTGGGTTTTACTCAGTCTACTTGTTAATCCCAATGTACAAATTCACCTCTAGTATTGACAGTGTTGAATAGTTTCTGGATGACAGTTTCTCTGCTGGAGTGGAGGAAGAGGAGGAGGAAGAGGAGAAGAAGGAGGATATCTACTCCAGAATATTTGTGCTTCTGTGTTCTACCAATGAAAAACTCTGTGCAGCTGTGTTGTTTCCCCCTCAAGGTCAAGCAATGTTTTACCGATACGCTCAGCTAATCCTCTAATATTTTCTTTCTCTCATTTTAAACACTGCAGCCACATGATTACCTATTATCTATGTTGAATGATATAAACAATAAAGATTCAAGTGAACTTAGTCTACAGTAACTCTCCTGGTGTCTTGTGTGGATTCTGGTGTAAACTTGACTGTTTCTTGTCACCGACAACAACATCAAGTGGTGCTACCTGCTTTTTCTAAATTACACTCAAATTGCAGGTGTATGTATGTTGAAGTATCAATCAATCAACCAAAGCTGCAGGGGGGGGGGGGCATTTTGCCTTTATTGTGGGGAAGACATGCAACAAAGGACCAGCTCGGATTTGATAGTGCAGCCGCTACAGGAGGGCATTATCCCCTGTTCATGATATTTCATAACACTTCTGTTGCATTAAAATGTGAAACAAAAATATATTCATGTGTCTAAACACTGGAAACTGTAGAATCAGTTTGGAGAATAAAAGCTGTGGTTTGATTTAGATTTAAAGACGGTGCCAGCTGATAAAATTATACACTTGTTGTTTTCAACACCTGTTGCTCAGGAAAAAAAATATGTTGGTCCAATACTCAGCTCCAATAATAAAAACACATAGCATCAATTTAAATAGATAAATAAGAAGATAATGTCAGAAAACGTTTATTTTATATGTATCATTTTTTAAATTTAAATTTAATTTCACTTCATTTGTTTTCAATTTAACTAATTTATGTATTTATTGGTTGCATGCAGTTGCATGATGTAAATCAAGGTTAACTATTACTCAGGATTACGTTTTAGGCTGAAAGTATTTAACTGACTTAGAAAAAAATCTAATCAAATGATAAGCAGAAGAAGGAGAAGAAGGAGGAGAAGAAGGAGAAGAAGAAGAAGAAGGAGGAGAAGAAGAAGGAGAAGAAGAAGAAGAAGGAGGAGAAGAAGGAGGAGAAGAAGAAGAAGGAGGAGAAGAAGAAGGAGAAGAAGAAGAAGAAGGAGGAGAAGAAGAAGAAGAAGAAGAAGAAGGAGTGTGTTTTTTTCTCTCCAAAGTCCCAAGGTCGTAGCCACCAGACTGAAGCATCAGCCGTGGGAAAGACAGTTGATGGAATGTGAACACCATCAGTGACCTCAGGCTTTGTCCAGATGTTCCCCATGTAAACATCTCTAAATACAGACTGCTGAGTCAAGTCGCTCAACACACCAACGTACATGTGCGGACACACATACACACACACTGCAGGTACAGCAGACTTTACCGATTGGTCTCACCTTTGCTTATTGTCCGCTTTGGTGGTCTTTGCCCTGTGCCCTGCAGGGTCAGACTCTCTCAAAGCCTCCACCCTGATCCACGGAGCAGTTGTGTGGTGCTTTTCCATTTGTTAAAATATAGAAACAGTTCAAATATGTACAAAATGTTGGCAGCAATAAAAATAATTCATTTAACAGTTTCCACAAAATAATGGATGGTACTTGAGTGAGTTCGCAGACCTGACTGTGAGGATACCAAGGTCACTGCAAACCAATCACGGCTCAAAACGATGTGAGGATCTGAATGTTTTTGTTACAACTTGTTTTTGAAGATCTTGTGGCAGCTCTCCATCCACCACCCACTGCTGCCTTTGAGATTCTTAGGAATTATGTGAACAGAACATTCAAACTACAGTTTTATTGCCACCAGTCCCACCAGGTTTTTATGTGATCATTTCCAATTTCACTGCTCTGTGCTGCCAACACTGGTCTGCATGACTAATCCTCTGAGGCATTTGAGTCCTCTTTTAAATGTACTATTTAATAATAATGTGGGTGCCTTTTGGTGTCCATCTGATAAATCATTCATTTTCATTCATTTAATATGAAAATTGCATATGTGTGTGTGTTTTTATCACAACTGAGCAGTAGCTGTATGGTGAATGAGGATGGAGCTGCTTTAGCGAGGTCCTGCTGTGATCAACCAATTGTGAGTCTGTCTCAGCCGTCAATCGTGTCATCATATAGCATCAAATAACGACTTACAACCAAACTTGAACACGTTAACATTGGTCGGTATAATAAGAACTAAAAAAAATTACAGAAACCAAGTTTGAGGAAAATGGATTTGACATGTCCCATCCATTAAAATGGAGGAGGAGGCGGGGTTTATGAATGGTAGGGGGAGCCAGCCACCAGGATAGTTTCGGCTTTGGCTAAAATGTGTTGTTTGAGCTGAATTCCACCTCAGGCTCATGCCCGACTTGGCGCTGCCTGCTTTGACGCCTCGACTTTCCCACAGCACTTGAACGCAGCACACAGAGAGCAGGCTGCGCCACCTGCCGGCCAGTCTCGTAACTGCAGCCAGGCGGAGCAAACACATCGCTGATTATCGAGCAGTCCGGAGACTGGAGGACACAGAGTGGAGCCGTGAAAGCGAACAGATGTGAGCCGGAGGACTGGAGGAGAACACGCTGCAGAACAGACGGAGAACCTGCGATCCTGCGAATATGTGGCAACCAGCGACGGAGCGATTGCAGGTAAGAGACGTGTGTGTGTGTGTGTGTGTGCGTGTGTGTGCTTGCGTGTGTGTGTGTGTGTGTGTGAGGAGGGAGAGAGAGAGACGTGTATTGTCGACAGGGCAGCAGCAGCAGCAGCAGCGGCTCTGAGCTCCGTCCACGCTCTCACTGTGCATGGCTCCAGCCTGGAGACACGGCTGTGTGTGAGCAGCTCCAGTCTCTCACTCGTCTTTCTTCTGGAATCTGTCGCTGGATTCTCAGTGTCTGTGAACGACCCGCTCCTCCCGCTGCATTTAAACGCACCTTTTCACGTTACGCAAGCACCGTGGGCACCGCGCAACAATTCGCACCCCCGCCTCGTCCCCGTGACCGTCCACCGCTGGAGGTTTACTCCAAACGTCCAGTAGATCCAGATGTGCAGCGGTTGTGTGTGGCCCACAGGCCTTTTCCCTCATCCGACACTGTACCTTCACACCAACCTGAGAGCAACTGGAGGCCTCCTCCTCTTCCGTTGTCACTCTTTATTTGTCCCTCACGTTGCCACATCAGGATGCTCTCCCTCCATTACCCCTGCATGGAGTCGCATTTTTCAGTTACCTGTTCAGAAGAGGAAAAAGACACACACACACACATCATCAATGACACGTAGTTTGGTATCCAGGGGCAAGCCGTGCACCGAGCCTGGCTTCACGTCTCCTGCACGCGTAATGCTCTCCAGATGTTCGGCCTCTGGACTGCCTGCCAAGTGAACTTGCACAATCCCCCCCCCCCTTCCCTCCTGCCCAGGCGTCAAGAAGATGGAATCACGAAGTATTATTAAAACCGAGAGAGCGAGAGTCCTGGTGTGTGTCCTCCTGTGTGGGGTGAGAGGCCGATGTAGATGACCCTATAAACACACACATATACCAACACCCTCCCTGAGCGAGCCCCTTTATATGTTGGCCCATCTCTGTTTATGACCAACAGCCATGCTTCGTTTGTCGCCTAGCAATTTACAGAGCTATCACTCTTGGGTTAGGGTTCAGATTAGACCTTGGGTTAGGGTTTGGATTAGACCATGGGGTAGACCTTGGGTTAGGGTTCGGATTAGACCATGGGGTAGACCTTGGGTTAGGTGTTAGTAAGTGTTAAGTTGTCTTGAGGACTCCCTCTGCCTCGTCTGTTGACCTACCAGTTCAAATAGGGAGTCGTAGACAATGGGCTGGCCGTCGCATGTCAGTCAATAATTCTCCATCCTCATAGGTTTCATTTGTTTGGATTTTAGTTCGATCTGCAGTTTTTTGCAGTGCACTCCTAGTGCTGCTTTTAGATGATCTGATTTGAAGCTTCATTTTGTTGAGGTTGAGATGAGGATTAACCTTCTCCCCTCTAGCTTCCAGACCAAGACTTTTTAGGTTTACGCATCTAGTTCAGGTGTTGAGGGTTAAGATCAGTTGGTCAAGTTATTTGGACCTCGAGGAGCTGTTTTAGAGGGTAGTGTAAAGGAGGATTTTAAACTTCTGAAGTCTTGTTTTTTTGTTTGTTCGTTTCAGACCAAGGTGTTTAGGATTAGGCGTTATGGTTGGGTGCTGAGGGGAAGGGCCAAGGGTCAGAGTAACTGCTGTTCAACACTAAGGAGTTGGTGATGTGATGCTTCAAATAAGTAATGTTTTCAATAACTTGAAAACTAAAGACCGACTGACATTATAACCCAACTTTTGAGAAAATGTGAGTTAGAATTTAAAAATATAGGGTTGCCATTCAACTTAAACTGTTACAATGACTTATAATGCTGTTATTGTTTATATTGCAGCATGCTGTTTAGATGGATATGGAACTGGAAAAGAGCTTTAAAATGAACCATTTCCCTGTGATCTATATTAAAGGAGATAAGACCAGTCAAAAGTTCAAACTTTGGTGGTTCATATCTTGCTCAATTGAGATCGGAAATGCAGGACAGGAATTTTGGTTTCCTCATGTGACGAAATTTCAGATAGATCATCTACAGTCTGGCCCAGTTGTGTGACATGGAATTACCAAGATATTGCTCAACACTCAATAATTGTTACCTGAGGTAAAGTGCTTTTTTATCACATTAATGGATGATACTTTTCATAAAGTTTGATTTATTCAGGTTCATATAAGGTTTAAGTCTGTACAGTACAGAAACTCACAGCTGCTTCAAACTGTACTGGACATTGGTGATATTGTTGCAGTATTCAGGTAACTACTCGCACACATTAGTGCTCCACAAGATTGTTGGATATTCAAGGAGTAAGTGCACGTTTGTGTATTCAGTCTAACCTCTGGGATCCTGTCTGACTAAAAGCCACCATCAGTTAATGTGCAGTCCTGTTTATGAATCCCTCAAAACTTTATGTTAGCAGCTGTAAACTTGCCAAACCTTGAATATCATGTATTAGCACTACACTGATTTCTTGAGTCTTCTGCCAAGAGGCAAGATGGGGGGGCTTCCAAATTAGCTTGTACAGAATTGATTTATGGATTGTTATGTATGTGAAACTTATGGAGTCAGATTGTAGAATTAATATAAAACAGGAGTTCAGGAAAGCATCTCTATCTGAAAACTGTTGGAGGGTCATTGAAGAAAAAATAACCCAGATGATGTTACCATGCATTTATGTCATTTAGGACTCTCCG